AATTTTACATTTTTAGACAGGGTCTTGCTAAGTCAGTAAGTTGCCCAGCCTGGGCCCAAACTTGTGATCTTCCTGCCTCTGCTCCCCAGAGTGCTGGGATTACAGACATGTGCCATCACACCCAGCTAAATCAAGAAATACTTTACTTAGCAAATATCTGTCTAAAGTCCTCATATTTTATGAAAAATCATACAAGATTGGCTCACCACCACACTCTATAAAACGACATCTATGTTTACTTTTTTGTATATTTTAGGCTAGTATTGAGTCTTCAGCACTTAGCAGATGGTTCTTAATAAATACTTGTTGAATAAACATACTTTTTCTATCATTTTATTTTCAAATTTTTGCCTTGGGAGTAGAATAAAATTAACCGAAGTGGCTGAACATCCCCCATGACAAGGAAGTGATTCGTTGTTTTAGTAAGCACCAATTCCCCACCAAAAAAAATGGCTTAGGTCTTAGGCATAACTCAACCATGTAGATTGCATGTGAAGCTAAAGCTACAATTTAAATCCCTTTTCTTGAATAAAAAATGGTTTGTGACTTGATGGGCCATTTTGATGTGAGTGAAAAGGTCACTGTAACTGGTCAGTAACCTCAGTCTCTGTGTCACAGTGGGGAATTGCTCAGATTCGTTGCATGAGATCAAGCACGTGGAACTGAAGTGTCTGCACTTCCTTGTAGGCCTGCTTGTCCTAGTACTGTCTGATGGTCTCATGGGTTCTGAGGAACTAGAATGAAGTTAGTATGACGGATAATATGTGCATCTTTGGGGGAAAATGGTATGTTAAGTTCCTCTCTGTTCCCTTCAGTTCGTTAGTGCAGTTTCCTTTCATGAGAACTAAAATACTACATGTAACTAGAATGTTTCCAATCAGGACAAAAGCACCCTGTCTTTCCCAAGTAGCCTTGTTCTCTCATTTAGGTACATATCTTCATGGATTTCTTTCCTAAGACTCCAAAGAGAAGGATAAATCCTGTTGGTAGCCAATTTTAAATCAAGTGATTTAAGTAGCAGTAAGTTAACGATTATATTTGTCTGCCTTAAATCTTTGCCTTCCTGCTACTTTAGGTTTGTGCACATGGACGGCAAGCAAAGGTCTCCGTGTTCATCTTCTTCCCCTTCCCTACTGAAAAATTGAGCTTTTTAACAGTCCCCTGGTTTTCCATGTTTCTACGTTCTTTTTTCTAACTTACTTGGCTCTTCTTTTGTTTTCCTCTCCTCTTTCTTCCTCTTTCATGAATTCTATCATTAACTTTTCAGCGAGCCTTTTGAAAATGTATTGTTTTTATTTTTATTGTAAAAGTAGTACATGAAAAATTTATTTATATATTTTGATATTAAAAAACTAAAACTCTTGTTGTTGAAAACCAGCAACACTCCCTTCCCTATCTGTCTTTATCCCCTGAAACTGACAACCTAGAAACAGCCAAGTTCAACTCTTTTAGCTGTCTCTATATTTTAAATAATACTGTTTTCTTGGTTTTCAAATTTTAGACAAGGTGTATTTGATACTGTGGAAAATGACACTGTTGGTGTCTTATCCCTCACCCTCCACACCCCATCTCCTTCTGCTCAGTTGAGTAAGTTTTCAAGTGTCAGCTAAATCAGCAATCATTGTTTTCGTTAATGAGACACTGTAAGTTTTTTGTTGCCCAATCAGGTAGTATATTTTCTTTCTTTTTTGTACAATTTTCTTCTTTCTAGAATTAATAATTGTCTTTCATGTGTTCATTTGCTTACTTGCTGTCTACCTATCTACCTAGTTGTATTTTCCCCCAGAATTTGTAACATTGCTGTCAAATAACTAAAAATAACATATAATATTCCAAAAAGCTAAATATACCAAATCCATCAGTTCCATTTTCTCATCTTTGGAGATTTCTCTCTTACAGACTTCAGTCCTCTTGCTCAAATATAAATTTGCCTTCCAGGGATATGCACAGCTGTCATTCTGGAACATTCTTTCAGTAACTCAGGAGTATTTCCCCTCTCCTGTACCTTGTTTCCTGTATCTCAAAACTTCCTCATTCCTCAGTAACTTCCTCTTTTACAGATCACATTCTGCAGGAGTTCCTGAGGAAGAGCATACAGAGGCGGTAAAATTTTTGAGGATTTGAATATTTGAATGTCATAAAATGTCCAGGTTAACCTACACCCTATCTAGGTGTAATATTTTAGATTCAAAATAAGTTAGCCTCAGTATTTCAAAGATGTTACTCCACTGTCTCCTGGTTTCCTGTTTTGCTTTCAGGAATTTTGATTTGACACCTTTTTTATGTCATCTGTTTTTTCCTTGCTTGTTTGTCCCCTTTGGAAAGATCTTAGGATCTTCACCTCTTTGGTGTTCCTAAGTATCACTGACGATGTCTCTTGGTGTGCTCCACTCATGGTCATCATTCTAGCTTCTTTCAGTAGGGAAACTCTTACCCTTTAATTTGGGGACATTTGGAAGAATTATTTGTTCTTCCCACTATTTTCTCTTTTGTCTCTAGGAATTGCAGATACTTTCAGTTTCTAGCCATATCTTTATAGAGCTGTTTTGACTAGCAGGCTCATAATTTATTATAAATGGGCTTTTTCTTTTTTTTTTTTACTATTATTATGGAGAAAGAAGCATGGGGGGGGAATAAAACTAAAGAAGCATTTATCTTACTTCTACTGTGTTTCCCTACACAAATCTTGCTTTTAAGTGAAGAAATTCTTGTTGGTTTTATTTCCTTTCATCAAAAGCTGTTAATGCTCTTACATCACAGCATTAATGATATCATGGTTGTTAATAGGGCAGGAACACGCACAGTTCTTTCCATTTCTCACATCCTATAACTATTCTGTGACTCTTTTGCTCCTTGGGCCTGGAATTAATCTGGCAAATC